CTTTAAAAGTCCCTTTTGCGTGTACCTGTTGGTTCTGTTCTCACTATGTGTTCTGGGCCATGAGATTTTACTACACAAAGGAGATAATCCAGGATAAGTGCTTCCAGATCCTCAGTTTAGCCTTCATTTATTGTCAGGCAAGCAACATTACTCAATTGTCACTTGAAGCAACTCTACCTTCCAGGCTCTTCTGACAAATCAAAAGTTTTTCCAAATAAAAAAAAAAAATAAACTGTGAAGATTCTTGATGTACTTTTGCAAATAACCAGTAGCATCTTTATCCTTCTCTTTTTCCTGGTGCCTGTGTTGTGTAGACACAATGTAGGTCAAAAGCTTTTCAAATGTGCAAATGCCATTGAAAATGCTAAGAGTTTCCTCAGCCCATCTCCAAGGTGGCACAGGACTTCTGGCAAAATTTTTCAAAATTTTCATCAGCAGCTGGACACTTGCCCAGTAATGGTCCAGAGGTTATGGTGAGCCCATTTGAAGGAACTCCAGAGGACTCTCTGTGTTCTGTCATTTATTACTAAAACAACAGAAAATACGTTTTTGTAAATGTGACTAGTTATTAAGATTTGTTTTCCTTAAAAACATACTTGCTGAAGGAAGCAGCTTAAACCTCCTTCCCAGGTCTCTTAAAGACCATCAAAATGCATAGGGTAAAACAGAGTCCTACCTGTTGCTGCCTAAAATTTAGACGGGAATAAAGAACACTAATGTTGTTTTATTAAGCAAATATACTCTGTATACTGAATGTAGGTCTGACTGTTTTTTCCTATTTGAAACTGATTGTTTCTTGAGTAATTAAAAAATCAAAACAGAACTAAGAGTCCCCCAAATCCTTTTTAAAATAAAATATTTAAAGAGAACAGTCAAAATAAGCTTACTACTATGAGTATTGGTGCAACATGCATCTAAGAAGCTGAAAGTTTGATTACAAATATTTCCTGAGTTAAGTCTGCTGCAGGAAGGAGTAAGCCCGTCTTGGGCATCAGTTTGCACTTGCTCACTTGTTACATGTGTCCTGGATTTCTAACCCGTTTTTCAGTTGAACTGGAGTACTTCTGTGTAGATGGGTCTCTAGACTGTTACTATGTTGGAGGAAGAGTGTATTTAGTTGCATTTTATTTACAAGGTGTAAAGAACGCTTGTAAGGACTTGGTTTTACAGTCAGGCAAAATGGAGGCATATTCTAGTTTCATGTCACTTTAATTAGGCTACTATAATTTTTTTAACCAATTATTTTTCTGTGTCTATTTAATTTTAAGATTTTAATGTAATAGATTCATTAAGAAATTTAGAGGCATGACTTTGAACAGACCAAGTCTTTTCTTTCTGCATGCACAGTGAATTAGTGTTGAAATACATCTGTATTTTTAGGTTGTGAATTGTATGAAGTACTTTATGTTAATATAAAAGGTAAATCACACTTATACTTTTGTGATATAGGAAATTGTTTAGTGTGTGTAAATGGCACTTAGTCTCTTTATGGAGTTCTTTGAGTACTTAATGAAGCCGTGTTCCTCAGATGGACAGGGACAAATCTATTACTGCAATCTACAGTTAACTCTGCTTAGCACTTTTGTTGGCAGATGTATTCCATGAAAACAAGAACAGGAATTTCCATTGAAGATAGCCTAGAAACTTAAATGTGTAACTCCTTTAAAAAACAGGGAGATGGGGCGTTGTTGTATATCTGTGCTAATGTCCTTGTTTACTGTTCTCTATTCAATGTACTAGAATACCCTTGTCTTTATCCCAAATATGAAATGAAATAAGGTATTTCTCTTGAGAACTTTCAAGCACTAGAAAAGTACCGTCTTGACTGTAGTGCTATTCTGTCTTTAGGCATTTTTAGAAAGTATTTAATCTCTAGAATTGGGAGGGGGTTGATTCCCCCCCCCCCCACTTTGGTCAGCCTTAACACAGTATAGCACTTGTTGCTGTCAAGTGCCTTGTATGTGTATGTCTTGGTGTATTTTCTAATATTTCACATCAACTATGTATCACAACTAAAATGTGTTGGTCATGAGTCAATGGAATCTGGCCTAAGTTCTTTGTGGATATTAGCATTTTTCAAATACATATTAGCCTGGTCGGACATGATTAACCATGGATGTGGACATACAATCTTCACATGAGCCTATACAATTTGGTAACTGGGAAAATAAATTAAAAAAAAAAATAAATCTTTTTTTCATTGTCTTTCTCTCAGCCAAGACTTATATGCATGGCAGACAGCTGGAATGACCAAGTCTGACCAATACTTCCAAAATGCTTTGACGTTTAAAATAATCTAAAGGAATATGTCACATTTTGGGACAAATAAACGTTTTGTTTTCTGTGCTGTCTGCTCTTCTTAAACCACCAGATTCTCTTTTCCTAACTCTGTTTTTAATTTTATGAATTTAATGGCAGTCCAGTGTTAGCTCTTCTGCTGTTCTGATGACTGTGATACCCCTTTTAAAGTAGTGCAGAAAATAATCTTTCCAAAGTAAATTTGTTAAATAGTGGATAAATGTTGATGATACCTTTTACTTTATTTATAAATATTTCAGTACTGTTAAATTCCTCTTCTGTGTTAAGTAAAATGCGGTGTTGAACTGATGAAGTTGTGCTGTGCAAAGTGATCTGTGAAATGCATTAGCAGCACTCAGAATCTGTTTAAGTAATAGGTTTGTGAGAAGAATGGTGTAACACCACAAAAGTGTTTTCAGTTGCTGCATGTCTTGGATTTACTGATATTCTGTCAAAATTTTAGAATCTCTGTTTTTCTAGTTATTGGAAGTGTACCAGAATTTCTGGTATGTCTATGTGTCTAGAAAGAGTACAGTGGAGTAAAAGGTTACTTTTTCTGGGGAAAAACGAATCTGAAGAGCTTCTGTGTGTTCTGTTTCTGTAATCTGCTATAGTGAATTCAAGACCTCTGTTATAATAAGCATGAACTCAATAGCTACTGCTTATTTCGGTATCTAAATTGTATCTATATAAATAATTTTCTGTGGATGTATGCAGAGCACAGAATTCTTGATCTTGTCTTTAAACTGCCTCAGCTACGAGGTGCCCTGGGACTTCCCAGGGTTGAGAGAGGTTTGAGTACAGCTTGTGGAATTTTGTACTTCTGTAAAGCATTGCTGAGGTTTTGTTAAAATGTAAAGCAGAAGGGATGCTCTTATGTTTTAGGTATAAAAGCATGTCTACCACACACCACCCCGTGATTTACACTGGCTGGGACCAAAGCCACTTAACTTCTCATGCAAATCACAGTGAAAGCAACAGACCTCACCTTGATCTCTTAAGTTCAAGTATGGTTTTGGTGGTCTTACTAGTCTGAATTTGATGCAGATTTTGCTTGTTGAAGGCATTAAATTTTGAAGTAGCATTTGGGCTTTTGTTGGGTTTCATCTTGTTTCACTTGTGGAGGTGGTGATCTGGGCAGTCATGGTTCTGCTAACAGAACTTGCACACAGCTTGCAGCATTTGCTGCAACTCAGTTTGTATTAGTATTAGTGCTAGTAACCAATCTACAGTTGATGCCATGTAGCCTAATAATATCTCTTGAAGCTGTTTTTTGCTTCAAAATGGGGGAACAGTGTAGGGGGAAAATCCCTTATAGCTAAGCTTCTGTTTCTTTGTCCCTTCACTTTTGCCTACCCTCAGGTAGCTTGATTCACATGCTCCCTTAGGAGGGATTAAAAAGTAATTTCTAATGGGAACATTGAGGCCATTTAGAATTCTAATTACAGATTTCTAATTAGTTTTACAGTTTTGACTGTTTCTTTAGTGACCTGTTGGTGTTTAAAGCATTGCTTTTCTCAGTATAAAGAAATAATCATTAAAATACTTCCTGCTGCCAAGATCAAGCAATAAATACTTGATTAGAAGGAAAGTTTGGGGAGGCAAATTCTGTCTCTTGCTCTTCTGGATATCCTGGTGGTAGAGGGAAAGTAGTGTAGTTTGTAAGTGAAATGGGAGGAAGTTTGGTTGAGGAGTGTGATGGCATTGAAGAGTGAGAATAAACCTCATTCGGTTTGCTTCAGGTTTGAGTGCTTAATAGCAGATCTTGGTAATTTCTGATTTCTTCAATCACTTGTGAAGTTTTCATTTGTCCCTATAAATAATAATTTTAAAGCTTTATATAGTTCAGAAGAAAACTGCAGGTCCCTCTAGGGCTGCTGGGTTGGAGCTTTAGGTGTGTGTGCCATCTCTGCTGTGACTGCAGGAGTTGGAAATGCAGGAGATTCGGTCCTTGATATAGATACTTTTTTTTCAACTGTTTCATTCTGTATGTAGGAAGTTAACTTCCAAGGAACATATACTTGCTGTTTCTTATGTGAGGTCAAATTCTTTCAACTTTGATGTGTATCAGTAAGATGTATCCATTTTATCTGAAAGGTGCACCCTCCCCATTCATGATACTCTGTTGCACCTGTGCTTGTGACCTGTCCCTTGTTTGATACAAAGTTCCCTGGCTTTTTTTTTTTTTTTTTCCTGAGATCAAATAGTTCAAATTGTTTCCTTCTTGCTTTTGTCATACAATTATAAGCTGCTTTCCTTTTTCTCACTTACCATCACTAGGGTGATGCTAGATTTGTAAAGCAATCGGCTCTTCTGGTGCTTGTGTATTTAATTTTGTTACTTTAAACATTTGCAAAGGGCATTTTGCAGATTTTAGTTACTGCGGTGTTTCAAGGGGTGATTTGCATAAAAACTTAGCAATACATTTAATTTTTAAAAATAAAAGCACTAGTAGTGGTCTTAAACCATCGCAAAAACTTTGCATTTGGTGAACAAAAGCAAATTTTGAAGTTGGAAGCATCAGTTGCTAGACAGCAGTAATGGTACTCATAAATAGCAAACAGATTGTAAATGATCTCTAACTTTTAATGTTATGTGTTTCTGCTCTACAAAGGTATAATGAAATGGAGAGCACTCATTAAATTTTTTATTTTCTAGTTGCAATCTGAAGTAACTGTGTAAACTGTTTATGTGTTTTCCAGACTATATTTTATAAGAAGATGAAGAACAGAAAGCAATGTATTCAAGATACTGAGGATCAGAAGCATGAAGGCATGGAAGGTAGAGTTAGAAAGTGTTTTCAGAATGCAAAAATGCATGAACTCTTCTTCAAGCGATTTTACTCTACATTGTTTTCTCTGAATAACAATTGTTACCACCATTTTTGTTTTGCTACTAGAATTCAGTAAGTAAAAAAAAAGGGAAGAGACAGGAAATGATATGGGGACCCCACAGGCCAATGAAGAATATTATGAGATAGTGATTATGTTTATACTTCAGTGATTATGTTTATACTTCTTTCAAAACAAGCAGCATACTAATTGAGAGTGCAAATGTAAAATTTAACCTTCACAGCTTAAACCTGAATAATATACTTCAATATTTACACAAACACAGACTTTACCTTCCAGTGCAGGAATACTGAATCTTTTTACTGCTTTATTATTCAAATCTAGAAGGACTTTTTTTCAAAAACTGTCAAAAATTCTCAGTGTTGGCATTAATAATACCAGGTGAAGAAAATGAAGAAGGCTGTTCCTGTTCTACTTTATTGTGCGATGGCAACACATGCCCCATCTGTCTGAACTGCCTTCTAGAGCAAGAGATTGGTTTTCCTGAGAACTGCAGTCATACCTTCTGCATGACTTGTATTCTTAAATGGGCTGAGGTAAGACTGAGCACCAAGGTGTGTGTTTATTTTTCAGTGAAATGTATTGCATTTAATACAGATATTTTTAAGAAAGTTACAGATTCTGACTTTCTATGGAAGTGTTTCAGTGTCTAGCTTATAAGTGGATTGTAGATAACTTTCTCCTTAGTGCAATGAAGTGTTTTCTTTCATTAGACAATGACTTACTAATGGTTACTAGAGATTAAGGATCAGTAAACAATCTGGTGTTGGCTCTTTTGGAAGATCAGACAGTATTATGTACATGCTGTAATATTGCAGTGTCAGTAGCTTAATCTTACTTTGTGTTATCCCGTATGCTGTTTGTCATAGTGTCAACTCTTAGGGCTGGGACCAATATGTGCTCTTGTTAGTCTACAGGATGAGTCTGATAAAACCTTAGTTTTCAGCTCAAAGGCTTAGTGCTATTCTGAATAATAAAAAAATTCATTTTAATTTTATCTGTTGTTTGTTTTATGTCAATAACTCTGGAACTTTAAAGAAAAATGACTAGTTGAACAAATCCTTTATGATCTTGTTCTGTTTAGTCCCTTTTCTCTCAGGTATTTTATGCAGTCATTGCATTAAGTCTAATGTCTTTACTTTCCTGTGATTTTTTCAATTGTCAGTATAAAACGCCAAATTAGTACTGCTTTTTATGGCAGGAGGTTGCTGCTTTTTGTTTCGCTTCTGTGCACTTGAATTGGTTGCTCATTTTAGTAGAGACCACTGCTTGGTTTCTTTGAAATGTCTTTCCTTTGAAGTAAATTATGATTTTGGTTGCAGTATATCCTTTAGAAGGTCGGTATCACTTGTATGTATGTATATATCCAATACGCTTATTTATTGTAGGGTTTTTTTTTACTTGCTATATTTTTAACCTTATTTCTTGTGTTATTTGTTACTGAAGGCAGACAGTAACATAAATCACTTTCTGAGGAATTTATATGAACTTCAGAGTAGTAAAAAAAGATTATTATATGAAACTGCTTTAGATTCACAAACCAGATGATAAACAAAGTTTCCTGTTGCCATATTTTGCAATTGATTCATTGCAGTCATTTTATTTATAAGGGAACAGGAACTTCTCATCCACAATTTTACCCTGACTTGCTTAGCATGTTGCTATAATGACAGCTGAGAGGCACTAAAAAGTGACATGCACATGGAAGCAGTACAGTGCATGGACAGCTTCCTGCTGGATTTGAGTGTGTTCACATTGTCATTAAGCCCAATGAAGAAGAGAAGTTTTCTAGTTCTGAAGAGGCAGATTAAGGATATGATATTTTTCTTGTCTTGTCAGTTTATTTTTTGTGGCCAGAAGTGCTATCCAAATAGAATAAAAGTGACTGCTCTTAAGAGTTGACAGGTGAAGTAGATGTGATGCCACAAAAATGGTGTGGGGGTGTTTCTATGTAAGACTCCTGCTGCTTTTCATTAGTGAGGTCTGATAGGTAAAACCTGCCAGTCTTCTTCTTCTGAGATTACTTTATATTTTGGCCTGTTGAGTTCATGGAACTCCATTGCCTAATCTAGTACTTTTAATTAAAAGTAAAGGGGCAAAAGAAAAGTTGAAAACTGGATGACAGATGTTCAGAAGCTTCAGCTGTGAGAAACAGATGAAGTTTTATAGATGGAAATGATAGAAACATAAGCATGTGGCTGTTTGAAACATGCTGATACCATGTGCTTTTTGTCTGCTCTTAATATTTAGTAACTAAATGTTTGTGTTCTTTTTTGAGGAGTGTTGCATAAGGTTTAGCCTTCTCTGGTGGTTCTTGGTTGATCATAACTAAATAATTGACAAGTAGTCAAATTTAAGTCACAAATTTAAGTAATAAAGTTATAAAAATTATCTACTGTTTAAAAGTGTTTAAAATTCTTGTTAAAGATTAAGTATTTTTATTGGGTATAAATAAATTGGTTTTAGAAACACTGTTTTCCTGTCTAAGTGCTGGAGAATAACAAAAGAATAAGATTATTGAATGAAATAATAATAAAAAAAGAGGCTAACGTTCACATCAATCAACATGCTCTTTTGTATATCCACAGTTGTGCTCCATACACTTAAAGGCTGTGTTCAAGTTAGGTGTTTCCTCTATTTTTCTATATTGCATCTGGACTTCAAAATATAACAGGGGTATAACAGGAAAAAGTACTTCTTGAACTGTGGGTTTCAAATTGTACATAATCGTCGTTCTTCTGAGAGTTTATGGCTTTTGTCTATAACTGTTTAGATTCTAATCAAAACCAGAGTAGTTTAGACAGATGGTAAGAGTTTGTTTACAGTTCTGCTCCCTCTTCAGTCTACAGGAGATCTTCCACATTGCAGCTGCAGTCAGGTGTCAGCATATCTTCAGTCTGCAAGCAGCAGCCATAACACTTTGAAGATCTTGCTTTTTAGGAACTGAGAGAGAGAATGTAGATACACGTGCACTTAAAAGCAATATATAAAAACGACCCTTATTCCATGATGGGCTAAAAAGAGATAAAAAATTTGCCACAGAACACAGGTCTACTGTATTAGATACTGATGGATAAATCTGAGCATTTAGTTTCAGAATTAAGTATCAATACAGTTCAGTGCTGTATTTTCTTTCCCTTTGAGGAAATGTGTCTAACTGCTAAAAGAAAAGTGAGGGGCAGACTAAGAATGCCCACTAAGAAACTTGTCTTCTGATTAACTATTTAAAATGCCTCTTGAATTGTTCTGCTCTCTTTGGCTATGTTTACTCTAGTTAATTGTGGCAACTGAGAGTATTGCTGTGCATTAAATTCAATTGCCTCTACTGTTGAACTCTACTATGCTATTAGACTGTCATCTTGTGTGCCTTTGGCCATGCTAACCAGTGCTCTCCCAAGCACTGCTGGGCAGCACTGTTGGCAGACTGCTGGGGGCCATTTTCGGTTAGGCACCTGAATATTAGCATAAATGTGCCTCAGCCTGGGCCAGATGTCAACCACTTCTGTAAATGGACATGGTGTAATTTACTAATGAAGACTTTCAAGCTTGAGGCTTTGTATTTTTGAGGCTACGCTAGAAGATCATAAAAAGTAAAAGGCACTGAATCTGGAGCTGAGGTTATTGGGCACGCCCTTCAGTGGGATAGTGTAAGTGAAGGGTTGCTTTCAGTATAAAGAACATGTACATGATAAAATTATTCTGCCCACATAACAGAGAGGAAACTTTGGCTATTTCTGTGTGCGGGAAAAAAGAGGGGGAGGAGGAAACCTATAACAAAAATCCCCTATCTGGAGTCTTCAAAAACCATGGGTACAGTTGTTTTACACCAAGGGAAGTAATTACATTAATGTGTTTCTCTTGTCTATAATATCACTAGTAGATTAAAACTAGTTGGGTTAAAACTAAATTTTTGATCTTTTTTTTCCTGATAAACTTGTATTTCAATGGGTATGCACATATGTTCTAGATTATAATAATTGGTTCTGAAAGAATTTAAGTAAAGCTAATGCAAAGAGAAGTTAATTAGGCACCTATGGCAAACATGCACAAAGTAGCTAAAACCAGCTCATCTCTGAAAATTGCTTTAGCAGCAATAGTATCTTGCCTGTATGCATTAGATGAAAACTCTCTACTTTTATTTTGTATTCTATTCAAAGAAAACAATCTTAAAGTAGAGACAATAAACTTTTCTGTCAGCTTTTTGACTTCTGTTCTTCAGAGTGCTAATAAATGTGGTGGAGATTTCTATCCTTGCTTCTCTATTAATTCTTCTTATGAACCATCATGGGACAAGAGTGTTAAAGTACAAATTCAGTGTGTTGTCTGCATTATTACAATGTATAAGAGACATTGATTTCAGTGATGCTCACCTACTGAGCTTATTTCTCTCATACTCTGGTCCTGGTTTCATTCACTCATTTTTCCTCATCTGGAGGATTTGAAAGTGGAGTATGTATAGCCATAAATTGTGCAAAGCATTGGAGCATATTCAGGTAGGCCCTCTACAGTATCAGTAGTTGACTAAATAAAACTAAGCAGTTGGCACAAAGAACTGCCTTGCATTAAGTTTCTAGCAGCTGTTATTAGATGATCTGTTCTTAGACTTCCATGTTCTGTGTGTTAGAGTAGTCATTGCCTTTGTGCGAGACAAGGTCTGGATCAGTGACGATACGGGGTTTGCTACTGCACATGTTTATTTTTCTGAGGATAAGGAGAGTTACCTTATTCCAGTATGATAACTGGAATTCTTAAAGTGTATTCTTTCTGATCTGGATTCCTTCTGTCCTAAAGGATATAGGAAGGAAAGAGCTTACACAGCAACAATCTCCACAGTGATCTGCAGTACAGAGCACTGTGGGAAAGAGAAAGATTACATTAATGAGCTAAACATACATTGTGTTCAAAGAAACACAACCAAAAAAAACCCAAAGGTGATATATATCAGTGCATCTGAGCAGAGATGTACAGAAAAACTGTATTTATTAATCAAATTCTTTCAATGCAGAAGTCTGTGTGTTTTTTAGTTTGACTTCCATTTCTTCCAGTAGTGCCATTGTGTCAATACAATGACATGGAACTTGTCAACACTTTATGGCAATTTTGAATTGGAACTTAAGAACTAGCCATGGTGCAGGTAGAAAGAAGAGAGCTGTTTAGACTTATAACTAGGTAGTCTGCTGACAAGGTGTTAAGACAGTAATCTGTCCCTATGGACTCTGCATCTTTACTATCCTTGAATGATATTCTGCCCCCCCCCACCAAAAAAACCCCTCTTGTCAGAAATAGTACTTTCCTAAAGCATAACTACCAAACCTTTAAATGTACTTGGTTTTTAAAAGTAGACTGGAAAAAAGTTATCTTGAGGCTTTTACTTCTAGAAAACAGTGCATTTTCTTATGTCTTCTTCCTTTCATCAGAATGTGGAGAGGTGCTTGTCACTACATGTGGTGTAGTGGTCTACCTTTTCACTGAAGTTGGAGGTGGAATTGTGGGCATTTTACTCGTATTATGAGATAGAGTGAAATATTCAGACATTGCTTTTACAACTTAAATCTCACCTTGAAGCCTGAATTTAGTAATGAGAATCTGGTATTGTTTGTGTTGTTTAACAGGTTATATAATAAAAAAAGCAGTAAGAGTGCAGGATCATGTTTCTTTGTGGATCAGCTTTTCAGTATGGTAGTTGAAGAACAGACTTTATTATGGGCCCCTTGAAGAAAAAAAAATTAGGGGGAGGGATTTACTGTAGCAACTTGAATTCCATACTTGCACCTTTTTACCTCATAACATGGAGATTGATGAGATGGGGATATCTGCCAAAGCTATTTTATGTTACTGAAAATTCCCTTCTGGAATATAGTAACTGCTTTTGCCTTCTTCACTTCGCTCAAATGCTGTTTGAAGTGGTGCAGTTAAAGTAAGGGACAATTACTCCTTGAGTTTAGAGATCACAGTTTTGTGGTGCTGTAGCAGTTACAGGAATATTGAAATTAGGTTATGCCTGTGAAGCTGAAGGAAGATTTTTTTTCTAGAAGGCCATAAAAAACAAATAAAATACTTTGAAATTATTTTTTTGAAAACTTAAAAACAAACACACTCAAGCTCATGGATAGCTTTTCAGGGCTTGCAGATTTTTGTGAATGTTTAAATATTTTATGAAGTGAATTCAGATATCACAGGATAGATGAAATCACTATGGAGTGATCCATTTTAACATGAAAACTGAGTAGTTTGGTATGGAGAGTAAACAATCAGACATTTTGAAGTATGCTGACCTACTAGTCTATTTTTCCAAGAAAAGAACTGTTGGGAAGAAAAGCAAAGCAAGTCACAAATACCAGCTTTGAGGTTCTAAAGATACTGATGGTTACATTACATGAAGTGTCCTGATTTTTAAAGCTATACATGAAGCTGTGGTTCTTCTAAGACTGTGACACAGTTCACATCTTTTCTCCCTTGTGCATAATAAAAGTGATAGTTGCTCCTTGGACTTGTTCCATCTCAGCATTTTTTTTAATTGTTTTAAATATTTTCCCCAAAAAGGACAGTGTACATTCAGTATTACTTAGGATACTACCTAAAGAGAAGCCTCAGAAGAGAGAAATTGCTGATTTGCTTTTTATGAAGAAGGCTCAACACCTTTGTTACTGAACCAGGTTCTCAAAAAAGATGAGAGATGAGTAAAAGGCCACCACTCCTCATGATTGCTTCTTGTAATAAATGTAGTTAACTTTTTGTACCTCTTTTCCTTTCTGTAGCAGTACAAATCCATCTTGCTGTTGGGAAAATGGGATGGGGAAATTTGGTTTGGGGTTTTTTTCCCATTTAAAAGGCTGGTTTTTATTTGTTAGCAAACAGGCGAGAGCTAATGCATGTTTAGACAGACGTAATCTTTAGGTTTCTGTGGGGTACTCGACAGTTGTACTCTGCTGAGGAGCCTGAGAGTGCGTGTGCCAGTGTCCTGAGTTTACTAGAATTTCTTTGTAATAATGTTACAAACTTACAGATAATGCTAAGGCTATAAAAAGCAACTGAGTAGGAGTGGAAAGAGCATGTGATGTTTCTGAATATATCTGAAGCTAATGGTAGGTTTTGACTCTTCCAAAATGTCTCCTCCCTTTCCACTATTGTATATAACTGTATTTAGTTGTTAAACATTTGTCCAGAAGAACTGAACATTGACAATTTTTCTGGTGGAGCAAAACCACTTTTTATTTGGATTGCTGCTAGTAACACTTAGTATTCTGTGATACTTCATTGCAATGAATAAACCTAAATTACTGTGTCTTAAACTTGGGAACATAACTTGACATTCATGTGTAAATTTGATGTAGAAAGAGATTGTATTCTTGGTAAACTTTTCAGCTAAGATAAATACTGAAATGAAAATGAAAATGGCTAAGCAAATTAACTTCCTCCTACCTATCTTTTACAGTCTAGTATATCTAAAAATCAAAGTATGAACCTTGAAGTTTGCAGCTGATTCAGCAGCCACAGTGCATTGAATGTTATCAAATACCCCCACTGAACAATACTGCACTGCTATGTTACTGTGAATTAGCTTTACCTTGACTACAGGACAAAAACTGTCTTCATGATATGAGTCCTTGGGGAAGTGTCTTAATAACCCAATATGCTTTTCTTAGCCAGGGCCATGACACTGCAAAGAGCAGTTAGGATAAAATGTTAGAGCATCAAAAGGATAGGTAATGGCCTTAACTTACATTCTTGTTCAACAGCTTGTTCATGAAACTACTCCTCGAGTCTTTTTTTGTTTTGTGTGATGTTTGGCTTTGGTTTTTTGTTTGGTTTGTTTTAAATCAGTTTAATTTGGTTCTGTCTACTTCAGTTGAAATCAGAAGCTCAGAAACTTTCTGATTGCTTGACATTTGGGAGCTGGTAGGTGAAAAAGAAGTTGAGCACTCTTTGAAATTGAGAAAAGAATAGAATTAACTGGAAAATTAGAAGCCCTAATGAAAAGACAAGACTGAAGTTCACCGCTGAATTTCAGGGCAGAGTCCCTATGCAGGTTTCTCACAGCTGCTTGTGTAATTCTAATACTTCATCTTGCTTGCACAAATAAAAATACCCTGAATAGCTCTCTGAAGTGCAGATATATGTCTCTTGAAGGCATACAATTCATATAGTGGTTCTTGTTTAGTGAGTGAATTAGGGCTGGAGACTGGCTGTGTGTTTTGGTTTTTTTCCTTATTTTAGAAGTGTTTTGAAATGAGCCTCTGAAGGCCAGTGGAATTAAGGGGGGTAAAGGAGGCAATAAATAAAAAGGTGTAATAATGACAACCAAAACTAAGGAATAACCACCCCCACCCCCCCCAAACACATGTCTGGAATTAAAATTAATAAACAGTTCTCTCACAGGAAAAAATAATACCCAATATGGATTTTTCTGAAAGCAGATTCCCTATGTGATCCAGTTTGGGTGGAGCTTCAGTTGAAGCTTCTCTATTCCATGGTTAATAATGTTTTATTGTTCTCTGTGTTCGTATGTTTTATCTGATAGTGTGGCCTCAATAAGAGGGCATTTAGGTGATAAGGGAAAAACAGTAACTCTGTTTCCATTGAACTATAGGGTAAAATAGCTTTCAGTTCCCTTTTCTTGCAAAATGATTTGTAAAACTGTAGTTGTGTTACACGTGGGGATCTGTTCTCTCAGCTGACTGCAAAAAAAAGAGTTGTGGTATGGTCAAATAGATAAGTAAGATAAGGGAAAGTGTTGCCCTGCTTGCTTTTAACCTTACCAGTTTTGTGTTTTGAGGGATACACAACCCAACACACTTTAGTTGAACATAAAATTAAGAAAATAAGAGCAGTAAGAAATGAAGTCATGCTTTTCAGTGTGTTATCAACATTAATCGTATATTGAATCCAAAGCACTGTACCAGCTACGAAGAAAAAATGAATTCTGTCCCAGCCAAAATCAGGGCACGTTTTGTATAAAATCAGTTACCTAAAAAGCATTAAAAAATGAAAAAATGTAAGTAACTTGATGTAAAATGCTTTCCTTTTTTAAACACAACTTGTGTTACTTTCTTGTTTCCTTTAGATTTTTTCCTCAAGGAACAAGCTGCTTATATGAAACAAAATACTGAGTGTATGGATAATGTGTCCAAATGCATTCTTACTGTGAACAAGTTGTGATTTTGTGTGCTTCTGTACGCTACTGTAATAGCAAATATAAGTATAGAAAAGTAGGCCTTCTCTTACTTACAAATTTTGTAGTAACAGAAATAATTTTTCAGACACAGGCGTCATGTCCTATCGATCGCAGACCATTTCAAGCGGTGTGCAGCCTGGATACATTAGACAAACAGAAAAAGGTATGTTCCAGACTTACTTTCTTAAATGACTTCAGTTGTAGGAACGTCAGAGTTATGCTGAAGCCTTCTATTCACACATCTTGTGTTAAGTAGGCTTTCATAACAAAATAATTGTTGTTTTAATGCTTCTGTTGTGTATTTGAAGCTAGGAATTATTCTTAACTATTTTTTTCAAAGCAAGTATTTACAGTAGTAATAACAATCATAAAGCTGCTGTTGCTACTTTCTAGTATCTTTGAGCCTTCCTGATATATCCAAGAATAAAAATATAGTAATTGGTCTCAAAGTGGTTTTTAAACTAGTTTTTGTAAGCATATGCTATACCAATTATCATGCAATACTGCCTTCTTTTTTAGCTGAAGTGAATCTTCTGTTTTCACAGCCTGCAGTTCCCAGACAAAATCACATGAAGGCACGAATAATCACTTAATGCTGTGCCTTGTTTGACCTAAATATCTGAATTTTTTTCAGCTTTCAATTCTTTTGAATAAAACTGATATGAAGAGTAGTTTATCAAATAGCAAAATAAAACTTTTAATAGTTGATCTTGAAAATATATGTAGAAAGATGCTGATAATTCTATGTGCAATTCTGAAATTTTGTGGTGAAGTTATGGTTATAAGTAGTTCATAACCTGCTGGTTTTGCGTTTTGTGATGTTTAGAAAACAGGCTTCCGCTACCCATTTCTTGTGCTTCTCAGAGTGCAGGTAGTCACCTGTAAAGGCACCATCCTGGCAATCACAATCAGATGCTTCCTTCTCATAGAAAACCGTGCATATTTTATCTTTGTTTCTAAAGAATCGAGGAAGCAGCTGAAATAGGGTAAACTGAAGTTTACACTTGGAAGAGTATCAAAATACAGTTTGAAAGGTTCTCTGTTCGTAGAACTGTCGTGTAAACAGGTGAGCAGAGAACAAGGGTCCTGCTTTGAAAAAGAGGCAGTGGAGCAGTAGGGATAGGTGGAATGTGTATCCAGAAGTGCAGACACAGTGGTCATCATCAGCGGCGCCATCAGGACGTTGGTAGCTTTCCCTTTGTGGTATTCAGAATTAGAATGTTCATATAACTTCAGGAGTTGCGTTAAAAGCCAAGTTTTGGGAACGAGAAAAAACCAAGTATCTAATGCAAACAATTGCAATGTAGCCATTGAAGGAACTTCATAGTATGAAATAAAAATTGTATTGCTTTCTTAGAATTTTTAAGATGTGGAAAAAAACACAATATCATATAAAATCCAGAAGTTATGTTCCTCAAGAGGAGAATTTGATGTGTTTTAAATATGAGAAAGCATGTGAAGTTGAGTGGTAGTTCAGCATTTTCCCTGTGTCTTCTGAGCAACGAACTTAGTTTAAAAAACTTAGCTTACAGATTCTCAGTGAAAGATAGTGAATAGCTTTGGGACACTTGCCATGGTAGTCTGAATGGAATTTTTTGGTTTTGTGAAATTAGTATGCGTCTCCAGGCATTGCCAGTATAATGTATCAAGATGTAGGGGTTTTTCCATTTCATTAAAAACAAATGAAAAAAAGAATCTGCAAACCGTGAAATCAAAATAGTAAGAACTGGTTTCGAGTCCTGTTTGAGCTTATTTTCTGTGTAGACTATAAGAGTTTTTGAGTGAATTTAAAGCCCATGTGTAGTGAGATTTTAGATTCGATTGACTTTATTTTACAATACAGGTTCAGGTTAAAAAACAGCAGAGGAAGGAAGAAGAAGAAACCTGTGCCTGCAATAAGGAAACTTATAGCCATATGAAGATGAGAGGTTTTGTGAGGTTGGTCATCCATGTAGTTTCAAGCATTTGAATTGGAATATTTAAAATGTATAAAATAACCTGTTTTAAAATGTACAGCCTTAAATTTTTTTAAAATTAGTTTTATTTTAAAATAACCTAATTTTCATCAGTGGTAGTTGAGCTTTACTTCTATCATAGCTGTAGTTTCCACTTGAATATTTAAAATAGCAAGCAATAAGTAAAGGGCAATGTATTTCTTGCATTGAGCTCTATGGAATTTGCATTTTTCAAACAACTCTGACAAATTTCATATTAATTTGAAATAATATTTTATGGCTAGATCACATTTTAACAATATAGGTAATTTTCTTTGATTATTTAAACAAACATCTCTTTTTCTTCCATGTTATCATAAGCCTTGCTGGCATTCCTCTACTACTATAAAACATAGTTGTAGTCAAGAACTCATTTTGTTCTAATGGGTTTGAGAGGGAACAGTGGAAATAACATTTCTGTTGTGAGAAACTTTATCTTATCACATTTGCTGCATTGTATGAGGGGAAACTCAGGATTACACAGGTGAATTTCACTAAATAGTGCTAATCTAATGTCAGTGTTTATTGGAATGGATGAAATATACAGAGTTCTTGAGATTGAATGTGAAGCAGACTTCACTACAGAAAAGAAAATAAATAAAATTGACCATTATGAATCATCATTGATTTTGATATTCTTAAAAGTATTTAGGGAAGCAGGTTATAACATCTTTCACATGTTGCCATGAAATCAAGCAAAATTGAGCATTCAAATTTAACACACGATGTTAACTTTTTGCAAATAGGTTTTCTTTTTCCTTTTTTTTTTTTTTTTTAATCTCTAAGCTTTTTGAAGAATTGTAGCTTTTAATATATGGAAGATGATATTCATGATGCAAGTTCAGGTCTTAACAGCAGTTAGAACTTGGTTTATGTGCACAAAACAAAAATTTCGTAAAACAGATTTTGTTTGGGTGTTTGAAGTGTTAGCTTAAATATGCCCAGAAATAACTTTTGTAATGTCTTATGTTGATCTTGCAGAAGATCTGTATGTCCAGTCAGAGGGCTGTTAACAACAAAATTAAGTAAAGTTGTGAAGAAAAAATACAGTAAGTTGGTATTTGTCTTCCATTTTCTAGAATTGCTGTGTTTTATTGAGGAACTCTAGAATTTCTTTTCTTGGTGTGCCAATTTAATTTTAATTGCTTACATTTGTATATAAACCTCAAGTACCTAGTAATAAAGCGTGGCACTTTTAGAACAGAATTGCAGTATGTGGAACTCTTGTTCTTATTTTACTGGAAAACTGCCTCTTCAATTTCAGTCACAAGTGAAATGGATTTAGTTTCAGCTGCAAATCGTTTTCTGCATTAAGCAGTTGGGAAACAGCTAATGACTAGGCTTTATTCACAGAAAGCTTTTTGGTGAGAGTTCAGACACAAGCAACACTTAGGTGTATTTTAGACTGCCACTTTGAGGGGCTTACTTAATAGGTACTTTTTGCTAAGTCTGTTCTTAACTTAGGAAAGTAAGCAGATATTTGAAGAGGTAAAAACTACTTGATATCTAAAAAGCTATTGTGAAGGTGCATGCATTTTCATTTTACTCAGTTTTTGTGTAAACATTGTAAATGCACTTGAGATACACATTTTCATTAACCTCCCATTGCATTAATGATTTTAACAAGCAATCAAGAGCTAATATTCTAAAGTTAAGATTGAAGTTTTGTTCCTTATTCCACACAGGTAATATTTTGTATGACAAACGAAACAAGAAAGCTTTGTCTGGGAAGATAAATAAGGTTGGTTCTGATAATGAAACATTTGTAAATGTCTTTCATTAAAGCATTTTTAAGACTACCTTTCTGCTTATTTTTAAGGTTAATTTCTATTTGTTAATTTCAGTATGATTCAAAATTTGTTATTTTGTCTCTTTTTTGTCTTGAAGTAATTAGAAAATAGTGTTAGGTTATACAAACTTCTTTCTCAGATTAAATTTAGTTTTGTGGTGGTAAATATTTTCATTTAGATTAGGATGTTACATTATAAGATCCTGAACCCTGTTTTTATCTGTCTTCATCAGTGGAAGATGATTTCAGCTACAAACTGTCAGCCAAGCACCACTGTATGAAGGTTTTCATTATTTACATGAAAATACATAGGTGTAATTATCCAAGTGACTTGTTATGTGAATAAGCCATAGACATTATAGTTGCATCAAGTTGGTTTGTTTTTTTTTTTAATGTGAGATTACTGACAAGAGTGTTTGTCTTTCAGGTTTCTTCTTTAGTTCATAAATTTTAGCCTATAAACACAGGATCACAAGATGCCAGTTACAAGGAGCTGTAAAGACTCGTTTCATTTCTACCACCCCTCCTTTCAAAAATACTTTGTGTCTCTGGGACACAAGTGTTTGATCAGTGCTTTCTTACTCATACTTGTATCAGTATATGTATTTGCATGAAACAGTTTTTAATTCTGAAGTGTAAATGCCATCATTCTCCATCATTCTGTCTTACACGAATTCTGAAAATTTGGAGGAAAAACTGTGTTTGGGTTCCTGCTTTGCCTACTGCCTTGTTTCATGCAATGTAGGGGCTGAGTTGTCACTTCTATTTGATGCTTATTACACCATAGTTCTCAGGGATATCTTTAGCTCCAATTTTTCCCTTCTAAGTCAAATATTTAGAAATTTTCGTTCTGTTATCATGTAAACTTAAAGGTACCTTTCAGAGGGTTTGAACTGGAAAGATAGGGCTTAATGGTAGATCAGCCTCTAATTTAACTTCATGGTTTTAAATATGAATGCTTTCATATTTAACCTCACTGATTTTTGTGAAGTATTTAATGGTACCTTGTTGCAAAAAAAAATGCATAAACAAAAGGAGAACCATTATAAACCTTCAGAGGAGGTACAGGGTTCAATTATCCAAGAAATACTCAAAATTTAGAAGAATTTAAAAGAAAGCATTAATGTGCTAACAACTGCTTCATAAGGGCATTTTCAGAACATCTTGGATGGAAGGAGAAATGTTAATATTCCAAATTTATAGTATTCTTGAAATAAAACTTAAACCCAACAATTATTTTAGGTAAAACCTAAAATTTGCACACTGATGAAATAGGGCACGTTCCCAGCAAAAGCAGCTCTCTGTGCCAGAGTTTGATGCAGCATATGGATAATGACTGCATATTGAGACACATATTTTATATATCCAATTATGAAGTTTATTTTTCTTCTTTCTGAATGAAAATTACGGCAAGAGTGTGAGTTCCTGTTTTAAAATACCAGTCATAGGGAATGAACAGGAATGTTTTAGTCAGATTTGAGGTGGCATGAACCCTTTAAGTGCTCTGGCAGAAATGGGTCAGTGTAGTTAAACGTTTCAGTCTGGTAGTCTGGGAAAAGTATCTGGAGGATTATTGTTCATTTTTTGTTGGGTTTTGATTTTTTTTTTCCCCTGCAGCCAGCTCAGTACACAGCAACAGAGTTGACTGCACACATGCAAAAGTCAATGTGCAGACTAAGTGGGTTCTGAGTTGTGTCTCTGTGGGAGGGCCCAGTAAATAGACACACCAGTCAGTCTTCAATTTTGTAATTCTACGTGAAGGCAAAGGAGAATCCCAGCTACCCACGTTAGGTTTTCTTCTTACTTGACACAAAACAAGTGAACTTGGATGAACTGCTGTGCAGGTCCAAGGTGCTAATGTTATACTTACTGTGGTGCCTTAGGTAGCAGAAATGGGAATTGTGCAGTAGCAAAGATCAGGCTCATTTATTCATAATTCCTGTAGAGAACATTAAAGATTTTGTTCGGAAAGCCTATATAAAATATAAAGTTTATCTGCAAAGAGCAGGTGTTGAAAATTTAGAGACTGAATAGAGAAAATTTGTTTGCTGTAACTACATATGTCAACACATAACTATGGACCTGTTATGGTGCCTGCTTTTTATGAGTTAAAGTCTTGCTGACATAATTTAATTTCAGTGCATCTTCATGTATTTAATGTTAATTATTTTATTTTGAATGTCTTTAATTCGTAATTTATTTCTTGTGTAGCCCAGAAGACAGACCTGCTGGAATGAGTGCATCAGAACTAATTTCTTCAGGACACTTCTGGCCAGTGATAGCAGGGAAGAATCCTTTTTTAGCTGTAGAAATGACTGGTTAGTGTAAACTAGTGCTTCATATAAATTGGTGGGTGACTATTGCAGATTCTTTAGTTTCTTCTGCTCCTACCTGTATATGTATACTGCCTTGAAATATTTTGAAGATTGGCAGGGCTTATATTCATTAATGAAGAGCAGGTAAAGTATGAACACAAACATTTTAAAATGAGTACTGTTAAGGGCACACCTCAATTTCTGTCATGTGTTCAACATCAGAAGCACACATTTAAATATTTTGATCTCATTGACTTATTAGGAGTTTTGGGTTTAGTTCATATTTAAATTCCTTTCTGAACTGAAGCCTTGGATAGGAAAGGCTTAGCCTTGTTATTAAAGTAGCAGTTATAAAAACAGTTAACAGTAAATATCCTGGTTTGTATCAGAAACAATCTTCTTTGTTGTTGTTCCTTAATTCCAAGAAGAATACTTTAAACTGATTTTAAACTCTTTAAAATCCGTGAAGCAATTTTGCATTAAGCAAAATACTTAATACTTAATTAAGCCTAATACTTACATAGATGGAAGAAAAGAGCAGTCTGAAGAATATTATATGGATAATATGGACTGATTAAAAAAAAAGTACTATGTCTAAATGCTTTTGGCCGTTGGTAAAAGACAAAAACTTTTTGCTGTGCATGCAACAGAATTAATTTGTCAAGGATGCAAAGTTTCCCTGTCCTTCAACTCCCCAAGGACACATTTCATCTCCTGTGTTCCATTCCATCTGCTTCATTTATTTAGGACTTCTTTTATGTTTACTGTGACTGTGTTTTTCCTCTAAGCAATAACCATGCATAGTTTAATCATGACTGTTGAAAGTTCTAATACAGTTAAATTTAAAAAGTCATTGATAGAACCAATTACTGAAATACAAAATCATCACAGTACAAAGTTACTTTTTGTAACTTTTTGTATGAAATTTGTCTTTCAGTACAGAATTCACAGAAGTCAACGCAGGGATCAGACAGAAGAGACAAGAACTGGAATTGTCCTGTTCATCTCTGATTGCTAGAGTTGAAAGGTGTGTGTTTTGGATTCATAGTGCAAAGGATCTTAGTATTTTAAATTTAGAGTTTGATTAATTTAAATTGCTTTTTAGATAGAACATCATTTTCATAAAACTAAATAGTGTTTGTTAAATTTTTGTGTGTTTACCAGTTAGTAGTTTTATGTCAATAGATTGTGTTCTACATGTCTTAGTACTTTTTTTGGTACTCACAACAAGCATAGGAACTCCACTGACTTGTGCAGCTTAATATGTCACTTTTTCACATAAATGTGAGTTTGAGTATATTTTCTATTTAGAAGTTAATATTCAATGTGCTTTTTACATTATTTCTTATCAGACTGGTTTTTTTAACATCAATCTGATTCTGATTTCCCACACCACCCTCGACCCTCCTTTCATGGGTTGGTTCTTTCACTTCTTTCTGTAATCACTTATAAACACATGCATCTAGGCAGAGCTAACAGGACTTCTGTCAAGTGAAACAGAGAACACAAAATAATTTTTTTTTGGTCAGAAAGCAGATGTATGTTAAAACATGCCCTAGGCTATTTTCATGAGTATGAAGCAGAAGCATGAAAATAACTGATTTTAAAATAGCACAGTAAGAAGTTGGTTCTGTCTATGATTTAATTTCATTACATATCTCTTTAGTCTCTTTGGCATAAAAATAAAGACTAGAGACAAAAGAAGCAAGTAAAGAGTTTTTAAAATTGTAATTAAGAATTTAAATAATAAATTTAGATATTTTACGTGTACTTTTGCTTAGGGAAAGTTTCCTTCCAACTCAATGATGACTTAAAAATTGTAGATCTATAAGTAAACTCTGATTTCACTCAAGGTTTGCTGAGGGAGTCTGACTAAGTATGTGTTTATTTTGTTTGTATTAAAAAAAAAAAGAAACCTTTACTAAATTGTCATATGGACTGTTTCTCATTTTTCTGCAGAAAAGGGTACTGCTCTGCTGAAGTACTAAATCAGTGTTCAGAATTTCATTTCCAGTAGTATGACCTACTGCTTTGGAGTACACTATTACTATTCTATCTTTGGTTTTGAAGAAAGCCAAATGTATATTGCTTGAACATAACATATATTGTTTAAGCAGTTTAACTAGATTAGGCAGTAGTGGGAACCTGAAGTTAAATATGAGAAGGAAAGTTTTGTTCACTGTCAGCTTTGCATTTCTTTCCGACTGTGATAAAGTTGGAAGTAGTGTGGTTGCTTAATGTTTTGGTTTTGTGCATTGTTTCCAAAACTTCCTGCAAACAACTAAAACAATTAATGTTACTACTTTTACTTTTCCAGAGTTCCTTTAATGTCATATGGAGCTGAAGCCGAGACCTTTCTTCTCACTTCTACTGCAGTGGCAGGGACAATTCTTCCAACAAATATCAGGCCTTTGGAAAACTTTGGTAAACTTTTTTTTTGTAAGTTTTATTTATAACTCATGTGGAGTATCGTTAAAATAGATTCTCAGAAATTAAACAGAGCATATATTTACACTTAGTGGGGGGAAAAAAAAAAATCTGTTCTGGTGCAGTTTGGTACTGTTTCAAAGCCAGCTAGTTCATTTCTGAAATTGGAGTACAGAACATGAACCATCCACCCCAAAGCTGGTGTAACTTCCTCACAGAGTAGAAAATTAAAGCAATAAGTATGTAACTTAAATCCATTTCTAATTTCAGCACCTTGTTTTCTTTTGTGCTCTTCTTTGTTCTTTTCCCATTGTTCAAGGATAAATCTCATTTTGATGCATTATGAATGGCTTGATGTTTTCAGTGGCATATAGTGCAGTGTGAGGAACAAACCGTTTCCTGACAGAGAAGAACATTAGTTAGGAAACAGTGAAGTGTATGGATCTATTTCAGTATGCCTACAAGCTCTACAAGGCAAAAGCTTACAGAAGTACCAGAGCTCCGAGATCTGTCTGGAAGGTAACAGAAGACAAAACGTGGAAGCAGCTGCCTTCCTCCAGTTACTTTAACAGCCTCTCTTTCCATACTCAGCAAGAATGTAGTTCCTCTTCCAACAGGCTGCACAAGTTCAAAGAAGTGGAAACAATGGAGAGCTGTTTTTTAAGGCTAGAGTTAATATCTTCTTTGAATTGGGAATTATACCACTTTCTCTGGACTAGTAGGCAAAGACATAGGACAGATTTGGGTCCCTTGGATTACAAAAATTGTGTGAAGTAAATTGCTGGATGGACTTAAGTGATAAAAGGATCATGAAGAAGTTGCTTTATTCATTCATATTTTTCATTCTTCTTAAATGGATGTATTTCACCTCCACATTTCCTAGTGAAAAATGGATAGACTGCTTCCTCAGACCTCTGATGTTTGGCAGTGCAATGTAACTGATGCTTAACCACTTTGCATCTAGTAGTATACTTCTTGACTCTCCTTCACCTTTCTACTTACATAGTCAGGTTTTTTTGTTAGAATGCACCAGAAGTGTTAAAACTTAAATTTAGAACAGAATTTTCTCAGTTGTCTTGATTAGAACCTTGATACTTGTACTGTGGACAAGGATTGAATTTTAAGATTGAATCTTAAAACACTGCAGTAGTTGACACTAGAGTTTTACATCATATTCGGGTTTGACTTTAAGACTTCCTACAGATTAGGGAGCATGCAGGAAATAAGAGTCCTGAAATTTCCCAGTGAAACTAGGGGATGGTGGATATGAAGATGTCTCTTGGGGTTTTGGTCACATTCTGTTGACTGAGTGTTCCTTCCCCTTTCAGTTTTTATATAGCATCTGAGTAGAAGACTGATACGGCAAGGAGAACCTAACCTGAATACTGTTAGAGATGCATGGCAAATATAGATATATATATATATAGGAGAAGGAAGCAAAGCCTTCAGGAATTATGATAAAGGAAATGGGACAGTGACTTTCTGAAAAGATGGAGAACAGGAGAATGAAGGAAATAGATGCTTACAGAAAAAAAGATGCAGACTGGTTCTTGTGTTTCTTACTACATTATGCATAAGCATTTAATTTCTTTCATGCTCCTCTCATCTCTTGGTCACACCTAAAGTGTACAGTTTTGCACCAGAATAATAGTTGACAGTTGCTTCCAGGGCTGTGCAGGGAGGCATTCAGATACCAATGCCTGAATCGTCCCTGCAGCTGCTGCAATTCGTGTAGTTTCTTACCATCAAATAGTCTTTTTCATTAATTTGACCTGAAAATTGTTAGTGACTCTACAAATACCATTATGATTTAAGCTGACAAAATGCAGTTCTTCTGTGTGATTAAAATATTTTCCAGTAGTCAGTGAGCTGAAATACCTTGTGATTGGTCCCAGTCCAAAGCTTATGAAGCTTGTCTGTTAAAATTTAACAAGTCATAAGGAATGCTAAAAAGGAGGTTGTGCTTCTTAAGTAGACTTGGAAAGTGCTAGAAAAATATCTTACCATTTAGTACTCAGGGTTCCCGCATTCGTCTTATATTCCATTGGGCTTTTTTTATTATTGCAAGGCAGTTTCTTCCCCCTTCAAGAAAATCATCACATATATTAAAAATTTGTAATGACATGTCTGAGACAGCCACCTGTCGCTGAGTAAGTGCTGGTTAACCACTGTGAAGTCACTTTGTCACAAAACGATTGGTGAGACTGTTACAGTAGATACCTGAAATAGTGCCAGTCACCTGAAATTCCTTTGGAAGTTCTTTACCATCATGTTGTTTTCTTTTAAATACATGCTACCTTCGATGCAATTGATGCTGTTGGTTTTCGTTATCTTGAAGCGCTAATTTGATCAGCAGGCATGCTAAAACCAAATCCAGTGTTAATGGGGTTTTTTTCTGTTGTTATTGTTTGCTAGGAAGATCAGAGGATGTGATCATATTCCTATGCTCTTTTAAAGGCTAGCAAGGTGGTTGTGGAGTTCATTTTCTGAGGTTATTGTTTGCATTTAATAGAGTGATACATTTTTTATTCTGCTAATAAAGTAGTAAGTGGCAGAAAGCAGCTTTTTTGCTGTTACTTACTTTTCTTATTCCTATCTTTTATATAATTTGTTTATGAATACACTAACAAATATTTTAGCATAGCAAAAGCATGGGAAATAATGTTATAAAGAGAGAATCACATTATGATGTGATAAATTAATTGCAAAATCCATACCAATTAATCTTTCTTAGCAAGTTTCCACTATTTGTGTATGAAATTGAAACTATAAAAAAAAGTTAATTTAAACACCACATTCTTGATGCTTCCTGAAATCTCCACAAACTGTGAAACAAATTAATGGACATCTCAAGAAATTAATTTAGTTCTCAAGTATTGCATTCAAGTATAATTACTTATTTTTCATTAATCTTTAATTCCTGAGCTGTCCACTGTAAGCTTTCATAGGTTTCAACAGTATGATCTTTCCTTTCCAGTGAATATAACCCTTGGCATCTCTACAAAGACTTTTGTCAAATTGTAGATGGCACGAAATAAATTAATGCAGTATCAACAGAAGAACTGCTGTGCTGCTTGCTAGGTGTGATTTAGTCATTCTTGGTACAGCTTTAGTTATTTGGTGCATTGTAGGCTGCCTCAAAACTTGCATGCCTTATGCAGTTCCTTAGGTGCTGCAGGTGCTTGAGGTGCCTTGTGGCAGAGTTTAAGTCCAGTTTGCCGTATAACTGGTGAATAAGTTTGCACTGTCTGAGACTGGATTTTGTAGAGAGGTGTGCTGTACTTGATGCCCCTGATCAACTGCTCCCCAGGTGACTGTCCACCGACAGATGTGGAATAATGTCCCTTTCTGCGGTACTGAGCTTCACTGCCAACAGGCTTGTGTTACAGAATGACAGGAACTGCCATGTGCTAACAGTGTTGGGTGGTTAATTCATTACTTTTTCTAACAAATTATATGCTATATTTGAACAGCAATATCTGTAACAGTTTCACTGTGAATGCCATGACTGTCCATGTAGTTGACACTGCTCCTGAAATGTGTGGGTTTTTTTCTGTTCTTTAAAACAACAGGAGTGCATTAAAAAAAAAAAAAAGCTGTGGCAGTATTTCATACTAAATCTTAAACTGTATTATTTTGAGGATATCTGTTAATCTGCAGAAGACCCTTTTATGTTCTTAACTGTGTTTGGATAAATGGTTATTATTAACAAACTTTAATGTGTTCTGCTTTTATTAGAATCTTTAGGCAAAGGATATGCTGTTGCTTGTACCCAAGAAGGAGAAGAGAAAAAGGAAACTTCTGGTTCATCTGGCACTAGAGGAAGTAGGAGGAAATCAGTTAATACCACTCCTACAAGAAGGTCTGCACGAAACACCAAAAATGAGACTCTGAGTCAATCTCGGAGCTCACCTCGATCGAGTGGTTCTGCTTGCAGTGCCCCTGGCAGCAGTAACCCATCCCTGAATAAAACTCATTCAGAGCCAGAGAAGGCTCCTCCAAAACGCAAGTCTAAAAGAGCAGCTAAACAACAAACACCTGCGGTGAAAAAGAAACTGAGAAGTTCTGCGCGTTCTGAAAAATCACCCAGTGGCTCGGTGGAAGATGAAGATGTTACTGAGTCTGAAGCAGTTCTAGCATTAGATAAAGACCATCAGTCAGATAATGAAAGCAGTAACACAAGCCTTGCACAGAAGAATAATGGGGAGACAGAGTCTGCTAATGGATTGGAAAGCTGTAGTGAACATGCAGAAATTGAGGAAACTACAGGAGAATGCAACAAAGATGAAGATACTTCAGGCAATGTGGATGTAAGTCTTACTGTCCAAGAACCTCCAGTACTAACTTTAGGATGTGAAAGTCAGGAATTTGAAGTAAAAGGTGTTACTGAAAGAAATGTAGATCTTACTGATCAGGACATCTGTGAAAATTCTCTTGAACAAACAGAAACAGTAGCTAGTCCCAAAGATGATACATGTGACCATACAACTTTTGAAAAAGTAAATCAGACATCATGTAGTCCTCAAAATGAATCAATGGAAAATGTAGAAACTTTGACAAAAGTAGATCAACCCATAACTAGTCCAGAAAATGAATCATCGGAACATCCAGAACCTTTGGGAAAAGATCAGTCATCAGAGAGCCCCAGAAGAGAATTATCTGATCATCCCAAAGTCATGGAAATAGATGATTCTGAGACTGAACTAAAACCAGTAGTAGACTGTGCGAGTCCGAAGACTCTTCAAGATGAGGAACCAGATACGCTAATACACAGTATTTCTGTGGACAGTACATCAGAACAGTCCTTAAAAGAGAATACCATTTCAGAAAGTGAAGAGGGTGGAACTTCAGAATCACTCCAGGTAAATGCTGAACAGAAACATTTTGGTGAAGATAACAATGAAATGATACCAATGGACTGTGACTCATTTTGCAGTGACCAGAATGAACCTCAGATTGAGCAGTTACCACCAGCTGAAAGTGCAGAGCAAGAAGAAGTGAATTCCTTACAGCATGATGTGGGAAACTGTGCATCAATTTCTGATAAAAAAGATGAAACTGTTCCTCAAGAAGGAGAGTGCCATCAGAACTCAAAAAAGAGAAAAAGACTCGAACTAGAAGATCTAGGTTTCACTCTCCATCGACAACTTGGTCTCCTTCTAGGGGAGAGGGCAGGAAATCTCAATCACCGTCCCCTAAAAGGGATATGAACAGAGACAGGAGCTCACGATCACCCAAGAAGGAAACTGTGAGGGAGGGAAGGAGGTCCTTATCATGTTCTCCAAAGAGAGAAACACTCAGAGATGAGAAGAAACCACCATCTCGATCTCCCAAAAGGGAAACTGTCAGGGAAAGCAGGAGATCATCCTCTCAGTCAAGAACTAAGGATTTGTCTCCAAGGCAAAAATCTAGGTCTCGAAGCAGTGATAGAGGTTGTCAAAGAAGAGATCATGACAGAGAAAGAAGAAATAGAAGGTGGTCTAGGTCACGGTCTAGGTCAAGATCACGATCTAGGACAAGAAATAAAGGTTCTTCATTCTCTAGAAACGAGAGGGAAAGTCATTCCCCTCGATGGAAAGAGAGATGGACAAATGACAGCTGGAGGAGTCCCAGAGGAAATGATCGATACAGGAGAAATGATCAAGAGAAACAGAGTGAAAATCTTAAAAAAGAGAAGGATAGTTCAGAAAAAAGCAATGATGATCAGTGTTCTTCAGACAAGCAGAGGAATGATTGTCCAGACTGGGTAATGGAAAGAATAAACTCCGGTCCTGAAGTCAGGAACAGAGAGAGAGAGAAACCACATTGGGAAGACAGCAGGCATGATAATTCAGGACACTCTTGGAATAAAAACTTTGGTTCAGGTTGGACTCCAAATCGAGGGAGAGGTCAGCGTGGACGAGGTGGGCGTGGGCGAGGTGGTTTCATGTATGGAGACCAGAGTGAAAATCACTGGCAAAACAGGAAACCTCTCTCAGGGAACTCAGATGGTCCTGGGAATGAAGCTTCAAGGTTCTCAGAACATCAGCCCTACAAGCGTAAGAATGAACAAGATTGTTTGTTTGAAACGCCTGCTGACAGATCTGGGTGGACATCTGCATCCAGCTGGGCTGTAAGAAAGACTTTACCTGCTGATGTGCAGAATTATTATTCGAGAAGGGGACGCAATTCATCAAGCCCACAGTCTGGATGGGGAATGAGACAAGAAGAGGAGACACCTGAACAAGGTATTAATGGGTTTTGAAGTGTAGTCATTTAGTCACTGCTGCAGTAGCTGAGGCAAGTCCTAGTCACATGGTCCTGTCTCAAGCTGATTAGTTTTTCAAAACTATTTGGGGTGAATCCATAGTCTTTTTGCAATATGGAGGGGTTAAGGTGGGGAGTTTGGGGATTTCTTGTGTTTTGATGGCTTTTTGATTTATCTTAAAGTCTGGGTTTAAGGACTATGCATCTGAAGAGTGCTGCTCAGGTAAATGGATTTGGCTGAAGAGACAGCATTTCCTCTTCATGGTTACTTTCAGCATCTGCACAACTTTTTAAAAGGGTAGAATTTTTAAAATAAAAAAATTTTATTTCCAAGAATACTTGAATTTACCTTTGCAAACCCACATGGCAGATTTTAGAGACGACAAATCTTTGTGTTGATGTTTATCTTGCTCCTTGATAAGCATGGTCCTCTGTAAATGCTTAAACAAAAAAAAAAGTAGGGAAATTTATAAATGCAAAACCAGTTCTTTTACACTACTTCAGCATTGAAATTCCTCTAAAACTTCAATAGAAATCTAAAGTTTTCAAGGTTTTTTATATCTAAAAGCTACCTGCCATGACAGAAATAAACTTTTTGGTAGAAAGTGAGTTAACTGTAGATGACGTGGATTTTGAATAGCTAAGAAGTCATCTGCAGATTATTAATGCCCTGATACATTAATAATCTGTTAAGACAGATGTGAATGGAATTTAAAAACTATAAAATCAATTTCTGAAGACAACTACCCTTGCACTTTCCCTTGTTTTGCCTTTCATTTTTGTCCATTTGCATCCCATATGCCAGCAGTTTTCTCCCTCAGAGATAACTGCATCTGTGGCTTAGTTTTGAGGCAATGTTGTCAACCTTCAGTCTGCTGCAGGGAAAACTTACCAAACCTGTAATTGAAAGCATTTTGTGGTTTACAGAGTTTTTCATATAGTTCAGGAACAATCATGCTGTTTGTTTCTTTTGGAACCTGAATTCAGCTGAGAATAGTAAACAGTCTTTCGTAACTGGATTAAGACAGGCTGGGTTGACATCATGACATGGTTCTGAATGACCTGGTCCTCCTGAGCAACCTGCTTTTACTGACCCTGCTTGAACAGGGGATTGGCTGATCTTGATAGGTCCCTTCTAACCTCAGTGATTCTGTTATCCCATGATCTTTAAAAATGAGGATTTGAGCTGATTTGTAAGTCCCCGTAAATTAGATGACAGGGTTCCTCAAGGAAGGGATTATCAGGGAAGGACCTCTGAATTATAGCCCATCAGTCATTTCTCCAAACTAATTTCTTGACTTCTGGAAGGCCTGATGCTTTTATCTGGATTTTAACTTTTTGACTTGTGTTGAAGAGAGAATGGGATACTAAAGTAATTTATTTAAGACGTGCCAACTCAAGAAGTTATTTTTACTTCTAGGCTTTGCCTATAGTACCATTACAGGGCTTTTGAACAAGTTTTTCTGAATATGAACATCTCTTAAATTGGCTGAGGATGTTTTTTTGTTTAGTGGGAAATATCCCAGCAGAGTATTTCTGTAATTACCAGAACTGCACAGTGAGTGTGTGTGAATCAGCAAAGGAGGGCAGAGAATTGCCTATGTGATAATGTATGACTAACCTTCTGCAATTGCAGAAGCTGGATAAATTATGTTGTCTTCCTGCTCTTTGGTGAAAAGTTGCCATTTCAATGTGATGAAATAATTTATGGGAACAAGTGGAGAAAACAGAAATTCAAAATGCAAACTGCCTTAGTAACCTGAACTTTTGAAACTTGGAAGCTAGCATTTGGCTCCATGACATGTGTGGTGATGAGTGCTGTGTAATAATGTAATATCTTGAAAAGACCCAGAGTATATAAAGCTTTTTAATAAAGAGTTTAGACACCTGGCTCCCCTTTTGCTTTATGAAGTACAGAATTTCTACTTCATATGCTGTCTGTTGTTTCTTTTGATAGATCCAAACCCCAAAGACCAAGGCAACCAGCAAAGTGATGGTTCTCAGTTACCAATAAATATGATGCAGCAACAAATGAATGTAATGCCACAAGTGAATGCACAGCACCAACCTATGAATATCTTCCCGTATCCAGTGGGTGTCCATCCTCCCTTGATGAATATGCAACGAAATCCTTTCAACATCCACCCTCCAATGTCCATGCATCTCCCTGCTGGAGTGCCTCTCATACAGGTAGCTGCTCCCACAAATATTTCTCAGGGATTACCTCCGCCTCCACCTCCACCCCCACCATCTCAGCAAGTCAGCTACATTGCTTCACAGCAAGATGGAAAACAATTGCAGGTATGCTTTGCGAGAAGCCACGATGGCAAGAGCAGTAGTGAAATACTATCAGTTAAGGGTTTCCTATCTTGAATACCATAAGTCTTGATAAATTTATACTTGCAGTTTCTTTCTCTCTTGCCTGTTTCCTTCCACCGCATACTAAATTTGAAGTGGAAGTGTCCGTGAGCATATGGTTTGTTTTGGGACTGTAGCTTTTAAATAATAACACACACCACCATAACTGGGTTTCTGTGGTAACGAGATGTTCCAGCTGGTAACGGAACACTGAAGAAATTCATCAGTGTTGTCCATTACCTATTTCTTCTTAGAAGTGCTGTGTTTCCAAAACTAGATTTTCCCCTTCCAAACCTGGTTTTTAAGCATTAGGAAATGCTTGAATCCCCTTTCAGCAGCATGTAGGAAGTGACCTAAACTACTGTGTTACAGTTCTTATCCCATGGGGTCTATCAGCAGAGGAAAATTACCAATACTGCATGGCAACCATTTGTTCCACACTTCCATTCTCCAGCTGTCACTATCTCAGCTGCTTTCCCTCAGACACATTTGCTATTCTGTTTAATCTTTTCAACCTTTTTTTTAATGATTTCCAAGTCTTCTTTGGTGTTTTTTACCTTCCCCCTCTTGTCTGATTTTTCTGAGTTTGCATGCCCTGTTTGAGACTGAACTCCCACTTTATTTCTCCAGTTTCAGAAACATTCTGCCATGCTTGGGGCAGATCAGACCACTTTTTCGTGCCTTTCAAGATATCTTAAAACCACCTTTGTGTATGTATCCTCCTGTATCCAGTTGTTATATATTAAGAGCTTTTATATCAGGGAAAGGAATATGAATAACTTGGAGGAGAATGCATGGCCTTGTGAGAAGATGTAACACTGCACTTGTGATAAGTAAAGGGCTCTTCAGGGATTGACTGGGGTTTGAGCTTTTCTCTTGTTGCTGCCTGTCCTAACCTAAAACACTTCCCCCTGCATTCCAGGTTGAAAAAGTGATATTCTAGAACAAATGATTTCTAACCCTCTGTTTTCATGCAGCATCTCTAAAGATTTGAAGTGAACTGATGAATGGCCTGCATTGTTCTCACTTTCCACTGCTGTTATCTGTTCATATTTATTGACTTAGAACAAGGCGAGTTAAGTGCTGTCAGAAATAGAGGGGGGTTACAGGCTGTATGAAATACTTTATTACACTGCAAGGTAAACCAGCAAGGTACTGCTGGAACTGAAATGCTGGTAGATTGATTGTTGATTTGACTACTGCCTGCTGTCTGTAATCAAAATATTTTTATTTTAAAATTGGAAATCCAGTAGGTTTAACCTCCAAAACTGTAAGAAGTCAGAACGTAGGCTACAAACCTCTGCAATCAATATCTGGTGCAGCAATAAATATGTTTTTATAAAGATTGCATATGGCTGCAAAACACAGTTACTTGTTGTAAAGTCCTCTTATGTTTGTTGCTCTTAAACTGCTTTTGTGGAATGGTGTCCATGAACCTGAATGCTTTTGGCAGCTGCTGCTGCTTTTTTCTGAGTTTTCATTCAACAAGTCCTCAGTGGTAGCACAGTAGAAATAACTGAATACAGCAGGACTCCACCTGTCCTTCCTGTTGAAAGAAAACTAAGAGAGTGCACTGGTGAGCATTAGCATGCTGATTATAACAACTCCATTTCTGTGTGCTTTCCAAAGAGCTCAAATTCCTGTTTCTTTATTTTTCATCTGGATAAATGCAGATGTGTAAAAAGTAATGGTTGATTACCTGCAAAAAAAGCAGCATTTACTGTGGCCTGCCAGAAACACGTTGGGAGAATGTATTCTGGGCTTTTGCTAAAAGTGGCCTCTATCTGAAGTCTGAGAACTTCTTAATTTCCCCATTCCTGTGTATCTGCAATGCCTGCAGGAATGCAAGGGTGGTTTCAGGTATCTTTTTGCATGTGTGTTTCAGTGCTGTTTTTTTAAAAAAATGTTAATCTGATTTACAGAACAGGTCTGTGATAAGAGAGATTCTGCAGCCATAAACTTCCTTTCCCCCTGCTGTGGTAACACCCTCCATGCCTGTTTGCAGGGTACTTTGTTTTATTACTGGGATCAGAGCCAGTATGTGGCAGCCACAGTGGTGACATGGAGGAGGCTTCACTTCTCAAGCTCTCCTTTTTTTTTTTTTTTTTTTTTCCCTTTGAGTAGCTCTAATGTAATGTGTAGAGCTTCCATAATAATGGACAGTGTGGAAATGAGATAATGAACCAAAGCATGGGGTATTCGTGCTCGCTCTGTAGTAGCTGAGACTCCTAGAAAGGCACGTTGCCATATGGAAAAATAACATATTAACTACTGCTAACTTCTTAAAACAGGGTATTCCAAATGCTGCTCATGTAAGCAATAACATGAGTGTTCCAGCCTTGCCTGCTCCAACAGCAGTCCTGGGAAATGTGGGAACAGTTCAGGGACCAAGTTTGGGTAATGCAACGTCATCAGGTCACATCAAGAGCTCTAATGCAGCTGTAAAATCAGGAGAAAACAAAGCCAGTGTAACCGTGGAAGCCAGTGCAGACAGCTCCAAGAAGGACCAGGCAAGTTCAAAGCTCTGCATATATTTATATATACACTGTTCTATATAGTTGTATTAAAATATGTAAATTTAATATTTTATATCTAAAATTATATCAAAATTATGTATAAATTTTTACATACTACAAAATAGCAAGTTATGACAATAACCCTTTGGTGTAATATACTTGATAGCATTGTGTGTGTAATGTTTTTGTGGTGTCTGTAGGACACTGACTGACAAGCTGACTCCTTTTAATGTAGTCTTCCTTAAAGAGCACTATTACAAATATTACTTTGGTTGCTGTGGGACAACGTTTTGTTCTCAGCAGACCACTGTCAACTCCCTTGAGAGCTGAAATGTGGGCAAGGGGAGTGGAGTTGTCTGGTCTTCTGTAGCAACTTTTTTCCTGTAAAGTTTTAAACTGTGATAAAGATACACATGCAGGCGATGAAAAATAACTCAGGTTTGTTTTCTTGTTAGAAATTGTTAATCCAAGAAAAAGCAGCACAAGAGGTCAAACTAGCTATTAAACCTTTCTACCAAAACAAAGACATCACTAAGGAAGAATATAAAGAAATTGTGCGGAAAGCTGTAGATAAAGTAAGTTGTTCCGGTAATCCGAGATGCATACATTTCAGCTGAGGCAGGGTTGGGGGTGGGTTTCTTGTTCTTGGGAACAACTGGTAGTTGATGAGAAGGGGGAACTGGAGAAGCAAAAAATACCTTCAGCCTTTCTCCATCCAGCAGAGTTTTCTTGGATCCTCAAAGCAGAACTCTGTTGTCGTGTGGAAAAGTTGAATGGGAATTCAGAAGTTTTTGGGAAGCAATCAGAAAGTATTAGGAGTTTTAAAATATGTCATGCCTGGGATGGAGGAATCTGGGGTCTTGGGGAAATAAAAAGTAATGCAGGATTGTGGCAAATCAACAGAAATGTTTCAAGTGTTTTTTTGTTTTTCTTTTTTTCCTTCAAAACTGTCGTAGGTTTGTCATAGCAAGAGCGGAGAAGTTAATTCTGCAAAAGTGGCAAATCTAGTGAAAGCGTATGTAGACAAATACAAACATTCACGGAAGAAGAATCCTGAAGAGGCAGTTTCCTGTGAAAGGAAATAGAATATGTTTTCATTTTTTAGTTTTATTCTATCCGCAAAGTGCAATTTCAACATGAACTGTTAACTGAAAATTGTACATGACAGTGATTTGAATTTGGTTTTGATAAAATTATTTTTCAAGGTAGTATATAATGTTTTGTTCTAAAGAAATATAGATCTGCAGGGCAACTTCTTTATTCCTTTTTAAAAACAGATGTCTAAAAAGAATAAAGGTGTAAAGAAGAATCATTAGGAATTTATGATTGTGTGGATACTTAGATGTACAGCATTTTGACTTGAATAACAGTTCATTAAATTAGAAACTTCTGAGTACGTTGGGTTTGGAACAGGTATGTACAGTACATGTAATCAGTCAGATTAAAGTAAATTTTTTCTTTTGATTGCTCCCTAATTATAGCAAAGATAAAATAATTAATCACCTTGACAAATATTTCTAGCGTTAACTGGACAGGCTGAATGCAGGGGTCACAACGTGTGTATTAAAAAGGCACATATTGTTGTCTGAACACAAGAACTGTTTAGATTTTAAAAACAAATATCATAAACAGTAAAACGTGGTGCCCAAAAGCATGGACGCTGCACATCTGTTGTAACACCAAATAAAAATTATGCTGCTTGGTATTGTTTGTGATGTTTTTCAATTTGTTTCAAGATAGTGGGATAACTTGAATATTTTTTATGTGCTGAAAGCCCTCAGTCACCACAAACTGACAACCTCAGTTCACATCTAGCCCTGCCCTTAGCTAGTAGGGGGATTAGTGTACTAGAGCTGGATCCTCAGAAATAGAAACCAGTGTCCTTTTCTAGTAAAATCAAAAAAGCTGGAATTCGTTATTGGGCTCCCTGTTGTGCCAGTCTTAGCTGCATAATGCTTTTCCTCATAAAGTAAGGACTGGAGCATGGATCACCAGACTGGTATCTCTGAATCTGTGCCATTGGAAGTCACGTGTCTTCCTGCTTCCCCGAGCACTTTATGTAGAGAGATTACTAGAGGTACCATAAGCATTTCAAAAGCAGATGTGGGGTCATTGAATGTGCTTAGGGAATGATTACACCTAAGGTAAAACCAGTTTTACTGAGCAGCAGCAGGGAGGGTTGCTCAAACACTGAGATCACTTTGTGTTCCTTATGGAAAGAACAGCTTGGGGTCCTTCTCCTTTGGGTGAGGAGGAGACATATTTGTTCCCTTACTCTTAGACAGTGCTATTAAAATTTTGTCACTAGCCCTCCAGAAGGGCCATAACCTTTGTGGTTGGCTGAGCCTGGCTTCTGCTCCAGCCCTAGGTCTCCTGGTGCAAAAGCAGAAATAAACCATTTTGACAGAAAGTATCAGTCAAGTTTTCTGAGAAGTTACCTCTTTGTAGCCAATAGTTCCCAAATTACATGTTCTTGGCAGAAAACAGTCTCACCCTGTAAGTAACTTTTGCGGAAACCTGAGGATGAAATAAGGAATATGCACCCTTGTACACACACACACGTGGTTTACAGAGAGAGAGATGTGTAAAAATGTGATGTTTTTCATAACAGTTAATCACTTGATTTTAACTATAACTTTCTGCAGACTTAATGAAGCATTTGACTGCCTATATTTATTTTTGTGTGCCTAAATACAAATGCTATGTAAATTAGAAACAGATATAATACATTTTCTACACTCAAGCCAGGTTTTAGATTTTTCAGAATACTCAGTTTTACACTGTGGTAGCAAGTTGTAAGATCTCATGAACTATATTAAGCTAAAATTGGTTAGCACTTTTTGAAAAATGTAGCAAATTGCTATGTCTATCCTGATTTATCAAACGCCGTGCGTACTTTATTACATTTTCCTTCTCTGAATTTTTGGATTTTAATTACTTTTTTATATCCTTTTTACTCTATACAGTCGAGCCTTGCTATAAAGCTCCTTTCAGGAGTCAGATAAGTGTTTTATGGGGGGTTTTTTTCCCCTTGTGGAGGAGAGGTGGAAATTGGGTGGGAAGAAATAACAGAGGATTTGAACTGGGAAAAGAGAGTGGTTATTTATTTCTTGTTTGGCAGCTCCTGGCTGGAAGAAAAGCTGTCACTGGCTGCCATGATTTTGGGGCAGTGACTATAGTGATGCTCCACTGTATTTCAAAACCTAATGAAGAATATCAGATAGAGTAGCATGTGATCAGTAACTTTATTTTTTACAGTTAAAGTCTTTGGAACTTATCAGAATACATGGAGTTTGTTACAGTTTCTATGCTGAATTAAAAAAATGCATTGCCTTAATCTCTAGACTCTCCTTCTGTTTTTCCCGAAAAGCAGCAGGGTCTCTGCTGGTGCGGCTGCCCGAGAAGTACTGCAACCTCATGGCCATGTTTTTGTTAAAGGAGTATGAAAGCTGTATTTCTATTTATTGAAACTCCTTGTACTGAAAAGTCCCGTCATGCACTAGCACTGAAGGCAGAGAGGTGGGGATGCTGAGCCCCCTCAGTGTGCCTCCAGGGTATTGGCAATTCCTTCAATCCAGATTGCCTTGAGAAAAACAATTGCAAAACTCGGTACCTTCTGTGAACGTGGGCAAATCAAAAGGGTTTTCTGTTCACTTCTTCCCGTCTCACTGTGCATGCTGCTTGAATGTCTTATCCTAAAGATACGAGCACAGTGGCTATCCAAAGTCCACAGTATGGTGTATGTAGCATAAGGCTGGAGTGCTGTCTACTGAAAAAATACTCTAAAATCTAGTTTTGTGTAGTGCTTAACAGTTTCTAATAAATTCTTTTCACTAAGCTGGCAGTGTTTGCTCTTAAATGACTCTGGCTCAAGTGGTTTAATTCAGAAAGCAAGGTAGTTCCTATCACTTCTGTGCACATGCATTTGTCTTGTTCTGTGTTGTCTGGACTCCCCCTCCTTTACATCTCATCTGTCTTAAGTTAGTCTTCACCCTGCTTTGCCACTCTGCAGGTGCTCTGAGCTGAAAAAAACCCAAATGCATGTGGCAAAATGTCCATTTTCCACAAGACTTTAGGTACCAGATCTTGCATCGGGGAGCTCGGGGCATGTCCTCAGCTGGGGGAAGAAACAACCAGGCTGCGTCCTACACTCCACACTGATCACAGCAGTGAGCTTCGCTGAAATATCCTTTGGAGAATTTAGTGCAGGAGAACCTGCCCAGCTGGAGAATGAAATTCCAGGCATCCCTTTCAAGAGTTTGCTCCACTGTACCTCCATGAGGTACCTCCACAGATAAACATGGGTTGAGAGTTATGGAAATATTAAAAAATGAAAATATTAAAAAAAAAATCACTAACCTAGAGATTAGGAAAAAAACCAACACTAAAAGCACAAATACCTATTTGTGTAAAAGGAGATGAAGCTGTGAGAAGGCACAGGCTGGGAGATGGAAGTTGACTTACTTAAACTTTTCTCTTACTTTTCCAGTATTACAACTCCTGGACTCACCCACCAAAAGTAAAGCTTTCAACCTCATCTTCATTTTGCCAGGCTGCAGTAAATCCAGGGGCTGACAGCAATGCGGTCAATGCTCATTATACACAATAAACAAATCCAGAGTAGAATGCAACACCAATTACTGCAGGAGCCAAACCCAAGGAATGCTGGCAGCAGGTTGCCATATAATTAATCCATTTGAGTGTTGCAGAAATTGCATCTAGAACCCATTATGAGGAGCATCAGTCAGAAAGAACCAGGCATTCCTAGATCCTTTGGTGCAGTAACAGGTGTGATGAAAACAAAACCCAGCTCTTAGAAGTTAGAGTTTACCTATAAATTCCAGAGCCTTTTCCAAAAAGTGAGGGTTCTTGAGGACTGGGAATGTAGTTTACATGTGGCCTTGTGCCAAGCCCTAAGCTCCCAGAGCAGTTCAACAACTGTTTGAAGGGTTCTCGTAGCCACAGAGCAGTCTTTGGTACTGGGGAAATACAAACCACACCTTGCCTTACACGGGTCCTGGCGAGGGGATTACATTTTGATGTGCTGTGGGTTTACTATGGGTTTAGCCATAGGTCAGTTGGAGCCCAGCAAGGCCAGCAGCAGAACAGGGATGAGGGTCCCTGTCCTAGAGAATGCGTTTCATACTTCCCGATTCACCACCTACCTCCATCCTAAACAATAAAAACAGAGCTCCCTGCCAAAAGTACAGACAAGTGGGAATTTAGGTAAATGAAAAACTTATTGTTCACCAGGACAGCAAATTCCCTGCAAACATGCAGGTTCAGACCCCAAAGAACAAAACCTGCAACTCCTCTCGGATTGCAGTTTGCAGGAAATCCAACTACCAGGCATTCAAAGGCCACCTTAGAACAGCTGTCCAACAGCCACCCACTGTCACAGCATGCAACAGACTGGTTCATGAGATTTTTTTACTGCGTTCTTTCCACCTCAGGTACATCAGCTTTTTTCAAAGGTATGGGCTCAGACTGCTCTCTGGTTATCACAGACAGGGAGAAGCCAAGACCCAAATGGCACCAATGCTGTGAGGAACAGCCCACTGTGATGCAACCAAGTGAAAAGGAGCAGAACATTAAAACTAATACAAAGTGGTTTTGAAGTTACAGTAATTTAAGATATTGCCATCTCACCACGAACAAACTGGTGATATCTTAAGTCATTATAATCAGCCTTGACTTCTCTGTCACTTAAAAATGACTCACGAACTCAAACCTGTGTGTGAAATCCCCCTCATCCAAGGGATCTATGCAGTTCCACACACCCACCCTGGCTGTGCAGACCTACAGCCCCAAGCACTGCAGGTGCAACCTCTGCCCTGCAGGACACGGAGCAACCTTTTGGCTCCACAACCTTCAGTGTGGTGCCCTTGCCAGGCTCTGCTGCACCCACATCCTGACCCAGCAAGTGAAGGGACATCAGCCATGGAGCTCCCTGCAGCCACCCACACAAGGCACACCCGGCAGCCCAGTAAATACCTGGCAAAAAAGGCAGGGGAGGGAGAGACCACGATGAAAGGATTACGGATATCCCTGGATATACCTTTGCTATTGCACGGCAGCAGCAAATGTTTGGCAGTGATGGGAACTGAACTCACACCTCACTAGGCACTCCGAGGCTTCTCCCTCAAGGCCACCCCCTTTGAAGCTTGAACTAGTAAGAAAAAAAAAAATTAAAACAATGTATTTTTAGTAGTAATAAAATTATTTGAATCCAGGACCTGCTCTGCCTCAAACTGTAGGTGGGCAGGCAGTAAATAACATCGATGTTTGTGCAACTCAGCTCTGCCATCACACTCTACAGAAGAAATACCAGAAACTCATCAAGTGGAGCTGAGTATAAATTAAAGGAGAAAAGAGCAGATTTAAAGGTGTACAACTGCAGTACATTTTCTCCTGCTGCAATATCTTTCGGTGGAGGTTCGAGCACAGGCCAACAAAGTGCTCTGCTATTGTGCTGATAATTTAACAACCTCTAGAGAACTCCAGCTGATGACTGAAGAGTAACATTTACTTTGGCAAGGGACACTTTTAGCATCAGTACTATACTGCAAAGCACTTTAAAAGAAGAAATCTGTGGATACAAGAGATTTCCTCATTTTAAAAATCTAGGTAACAAGAAATTAGTGTAATAAAGTTTTGCTATGCCCCCCCATTCCCCGCAAGAAGTTTGTACTCATCTTCAAGAAG